CCATCATAGAAGGCCACAAGATTAGTTAGGCATGACCTTCCTTTGGTCACTCCAGAAATATGGATTGATTCTGTCCCTTGGTGACTTGAAGGTATCATAGTGCACTGTGCACCAGTGTCCACCAATGCCTTATATTCCTGTAGTTCTGATGTGCCAGGCCATCAAATCCACACAGTCCAATACACTGTTAATCCTTCCCTCCCTCAGCTGGGTGCTGGGCCCCTCTATTTTTTACCGCTATGTTTTTCCACCTGTGAGTAATGATCAGGACCTTTATAGCTTTTGCTGTGTCCCGCAGCTACTGGAGCAATTACCTTTTTGGAGGAGTTCTCCTTGGGGGTTGATGTGTCTTATATTTCTTTTACCTGCACTTAATGTTCAGGAGTGGGTTTTTTATGCCACTTCTTCATATCTTCTCCATGCCCCCATAGGTAATTCCACAAGGCAATAGTCATAGTCTTACTGTTGTCACTTGTTCAAGCTGGAGGATGTCTGCTTTTAATAGCTGAGATATTGAGGGGGAGTAGGGAGCAAATCAGTTTGATCAGCCCCTTTAGTAGACTTTTGATAATTGTGATTCTCATCAATTGTCTGTGATGCCACCAGGGGTTCATTAGGCTCATCATGATGAAGGAAGCTACACAGTTCCTCCATCATAGTGGAATGGGTCCAGAGAAGAACCACTAAGATGATCAGAGGGCTAGAACACCTCTCCTATGAGGAAAGGTTGAGGGAACTGGGCTTGTTCAGCTTGGAGAAGAGAAGGCTCTGGGGAGACCTCATTGTGGCCTTCCAGTACTTGAAGGGAGTGTATAAACAGGAGGAGGAACGGCTGTTTGTGAGGGTGGATGGTGATAGGACAAGGGGGAATGGTCTTAAACTGAGAAGGGGAGGCTTAGGTTGGATATTAGGTGGAAATTTTTCACCCAGAGGGTGGTGAGGCACTGGCACAGGTTGCCCAAGGAGGCTGTGGATGCCCCATCCCTGGAGGCATTCAAGGCCAGACTGGATGTGGCTCTGGGCAGCCTGGGCTGCTGTTGGCAACCTGCACACAGCAGGGGGTTGGAGCTGGATGAGCACTGTGCTCCTTTGCAACCCAGGCCATTCTGTGATATCTTCCTCAAAATATTATAAATACAGATACTGAGTGAAATTACAAGTACATTCACAGAGTTTGACAACATGATCATTGGATGAGCATTCAAAAAATGTATAAGGGATTTAGGGGAGAAACTGGAAGCCTGTTTAAAATTCACATGTTCTGTAAAATTAGTTCACCTGGACTTCAAGGTAGTCCTTGATAAATCCAGCAGTACCAATAAGCTTTCTTACAAAGTTCTCTGAGAATACAGAGAGGTTTGTTCTAAAACTATGTTTTAGTTTGGAACAGTGAAGTCTTCTAGGATTTGTAGTTCTGAGTAAGGTATACCTGTAACTATTGACAGTGCATGGAACTGGAGCATTAACTCTTAAACTCCCAGTACACTACATGATGTTATGAAGTGTCACCCAAATCCCAAGACACAGAAGATGTGCTGATGGGCAATGAGGCTGGACTGGCTGAACAGAGACCTTTGGCTGAAACTCAAGAGCAAAAGGAAAGTTTATGGTCTCTGGAAGAGTGGGCAAGCTACTTATGATGATTATAGGTACATAGTGAAGCTGTGCAGAGAGAAAATTAGAAAAGCCAAAGCCCAGCTAGAACTGAACTTGGCCACTAAGGTAAAGGACAACAATAAATATTTCTATAAATACATCAACAGCAAGAGGAGGGCTAGGGAGAATTTCCATCCCTTGTTGGATGCCGAGGGCAAACTGGTGACCAAGGATCAGATAAGGCTGAGGGGGTATTGAATATTTAAAGCCTTCTTTGCCTCAGTCTTTAATAGTAAGACTTGTTACTCCCTGGGAATACAGCCCCCTGTGCTGTGGTAGATAGGGATGGGGAACAGAATAGGCCCTGCATAATCCACAGTGAGATGGTTTTGGACCTGCTCCTAAAGAGGGAGGGAGGGAGGTGATCCTCCCCCTCTGCTCTGCCCTGGTGAGGCCTCATCTGGAGCACTGCATCCAGTTCTGGGCTCCCCAGTACAAAAAAGACAAGGATCTCTTGGAAAGAGTCCAGCGGAGGGCCACGAAGATGGTGAAGGGCCTGGAGCATCTCTGCTATGGAGAAAGGCTGAGTGAACTGGGTCTGTTCAGCCTTGAGAAAAGAAGACTGAGAGGGGACCTGATCCAGGTCTATAAATATCTGGGGTGTGGGGGGCAGAATGGCGAGGCCGGACTCTTTCCAGTGGTGAATGGAGACAGGACAGGGGGAAACGGCTGGAAACTGCAGCATAGGAAATTCTGCACAAATGTGCGCAAGAACTTCTTTACAGTGAGGTGATGGAGCACTGGAACAGGCTGCCCAGGGAGGTGGTGGAGTCTCCTTCTCTGGAGATGTTCAAGACCTGCCTGGACGCCTACCTGTGCGACCTGGTGTAGGGAACCTGCTTTGGCAGGGGGTTGGACTCGATGATCTCTGGAGGTCCCTTCCAACCCCTACAATTCTGTGATTCTGTGAAAGCTGGATGCTCACAAGTCCATGGGACTGGATGGATTGCACCCCAGAGTGCTGAGGGAGTTGGCAGATGTGGTTGCCAAGCCACTCTCCATCATTCTTTGGCAGTCCTGTCTAACCAGGGGTGTCCTGGCAGACTGGAGACTGGCAAATGTGATGCCCATCTTCAAAAAGGGCCAGAAAGATGTTCCTGGCAGCTACGGGCCTATCAGTCTCACCTTGGTGCCTGGGAAGGTTATGGAATGGATAATCTCAGGAGCCATCATGGACCAGTTAAAGGTCAACCATGGGCTCAGGCCCAGTCAGCATGGGTTTACGAATGGTAGATCCTATTTTGACAAACCTGATTTCATTCTATGACAAGGAGACCCACTTAGTGGATGAAGGTAAGGCTGTCGATGTTCTCTACCTGGACTTCAGTAAAGCCTTTGACACTGTCCCCCACAACATTCTTGTGGAGAAGCTGGCTGCCTACGATTTGGATGGGCATACGCTCTGCTGGGTGAAACACTAGCCGGATGGCCAGGCCTGAGCAATTCTATGATACTATGATTCTATGAAGTGGAATACCAATAACAAAAATCACAAAACCATGACAGGGTGACCTTATTTCTCTCTACAGCTACCTGAAGGGAGGTTGTGGTGAAGTAGTGGTCAGTCTCTTCTCCAAGGTAACTAGCAATAGGACTAGAGGGAATGGCTTCAATTTGTGCCAGGGATGATTCAGGCTGTATGTTAGGAAATACTTCTCCGAAAGAATGGTCAGGCGCTGAAATGGGCTGCCCAGGGAGGTGGTGGAGTCACCATCTCTGGAGGTGTTCACTAAATGTTTAGGTGTTGTACTGAGGGACGTGGTTTAGTGGGAAATATTGGTGATAGTTGGGTAGTTGGATTGGATGATCTTAGAGGTCTTTTCCAACTTTGGTGATTCTATGATTCTGTGATTATATGTTTATTGTATAGAAGTCTTATGTTTAACCAGTGCAGCAGTGAAATGCTCACAGGTAGGTGTGCATACACTCACATCCCAACAAAAACCTTATTTCTCTGCCCCAAGACCACACCATCAGCCTCAGGCAGCTGAGTACCAGTGCTGCCCTGAAGCAAGAGCAGCCTCACAGCCATAGCAGCATACATAGACCCATTCCTTGTCAACCAAAGGTGAGGGCAACTCGAAACTGATATGGACAGTCTCTTCCTGCGTACACAAATCTGAGAGTCAGACAGACTGAACCTTCTTAAAGTTACTTATGAGCTATAGCATCCTATGCAGAAACCACTCTACTGCTGTAACTCCTTTTCTTCTGATCAGGAATTAAGACTTACAGTATCAGATCCCCACTTCATGTCCTTTAAGAGCATCCTCTGCCTTTATGGGAAAACCCCAACTACACCATCTTTCTGGCACAAACCTTCAAACAATACCAATGGAAGAGTGGAGGTGAGGTAGGAGACCACAAACATGCTCCCTACTTTCAACAGCTGCAGCCAGAGGCTAAGACAGACTCAGAGTAGTACACATCTTTGTGACAGAAGCCCCAGGTGCCCACTCTGACCACAACTGCGTAAAGCCCGCAGCCCTTGCACCTCCTACTCACCTCCACTGTGCACATCGCTGAGCCTAGGCTACAGCTCATATTCGTTCCTTCACCTCACATCTTTCACCCGTGCTTGCTGAGGAGAGCCTTCCCATGTTTCCAGAACTTTTCATCCCCTGTCTTTAGTGAATGCATGTCATCACAAACACATCACAGTTGTGTTTTCTGGGTAGAGTGTCTGGTGTAGAACCACAAGCCTACTCCTAACACACTTTCTGCAGTACTGACCTGTCATAGTTTTCATTATTAGTACATTTTTATTTAATTTTGATCCAAGCACATTCTTGTTTGAGCCTGTTGCCTTTTTTTTTTTTTTTTTAACTTCATATTCATCAAGTCAAATATTTCTTCCATAGATTTGTTGGTTTGGGTTGTGTTTTTTTGTTGTCTTGAACGGGGTTGTTCTTATTTTAATACCACTATTCTCATTTCCCTAATTCATTACAGTATCTTATTTGTTTTTACTAGCTCCATCTGGATTTGTGTGACATATTTGACGTATTTTTTTTTAGCTAATCTATAACCTTTTTCTAGAACTGATATCAAGTTGCCAGGTCTTTGCCTAGTTAGATCTTTCCTTTTATCTCAACATGGAGTAATCTGCTCTCTGCAACTTTTCAGGTTTCAGAAAAGCTTTTTACTAGAAAAGACATCCTCAAACAAAAGGTTTTCAGAAACCTTCATTACTTATTTCTAAATCATTGTGTGCCAGTTATATTGGACCTCATTTTAAGGTCTTCTGCTGAATATATGGCCAACTTCCCAGGAACAGGATGATAGTCAATTTTCCACTATAATTGTGTGACAAATATGAGGCTTCTTCTGAAGCAAAGTCCTAGTATTTTTTTCCATGGCTTTGTTTTTCCCTTTATAGTAAATATTCCAACTTGTATCATTACCCGATACTTATTTTTGATCTCACTTCTTCTTTCTTTTGGCAGCACATTTTTCTTCCAATTTAGCATTATCAGATATCTACATTTTTCTTCTAACTCAATTCAGTTATCTGTCAGACTAGTTCTTCTGAAACACCATTTCTTTCTGAACTACTTTCTGTTTGCATAGAACATTTCCAAATCTTAACCACAACATTATCCTACTCTTCCTTCAATTTTCAGGATGAACAGACAGATAGGGTTTTGTCTGGGACCTCCCTGTATTCCATCCCAGTACCTGTCAGATTCCACATGGAAGACTTAGTACGGACCTGAGACTAACTACAACATTCATCCAGTAATTCCTCTTTCCAGATCACTGTTCATTGCTCCATCTTTGCTTTTATGAGTATTGTGCACCACTTAATCCTTTGACTTTTCTCAGTTACATACTACCACACTTTCTGAGTTTCTTACTGGGTGTGCGTGTGTGTGACAACGCACAACAATTTTCTGCATTCTAGGCTGAGTATCCTTGTGAATCTAACTGCCTGGGATCTGAGTTTCTCTCATACGCTATTTATATTCTGGATCCAGATAAGTAAGAAAATTTTGAATAATTCCCTCCTGCAACTCACCTGCTGATGCATATGGCAACAAATGCAAAGATCTCCAGCTTTAAGAGTCTCCACAACCTGTTAGATGCACCTAGTGACTGTCAATTTGCATACTATGCCTTGCTGTTCAAACCCATCCCTTGGCTAAGAGAAAAAGTTCATGCCCAGATGTCAACTATATATGACAAGATTTCATACTGTTATTTCAGAGATAAGAATTTCTCTAGTCAAAAGTACAGAGCACAATTCTATTTACAGTTTGCAGATGGACAAATATAACAATCACTATCAATTCGCACCACCTAGAGAAATTGATTGTGTTTTTTTTAAAAAAAAAAAAAAAAAAAAAAAAACATGTAATATAAGAATAAGCTCTTAATCATCATTGAATCAGTCATCATCAAATGAAGCAATTTGTGTTGCACAGATTGTCAACAGTGAAATATATATCTTGCTTAAAATGAAATAAACCAAGCCATTTACTTACCATTGGCAGCCTGGATTGAAGCATCTGGAGATCATCATAACCATAAATCTGCTCAAAGAAAGAAAAATATAACATTATCACACTTTTCTAGGCCCAGTCTACATTACAGGTATATGGGTATATGTTATATTGTGCAATTACAGAGCACTGTGGAATTTTAAGGCTAGTAAAGCTAAGCAGAGGTCAAAATGGTTTGTCACTTATGTTTTCCGATGACAGTAGTCCCCCGAGAAGAGTTTGACTGTCAAGTCTTCAATACTGTTTTTACAGAAACATATTTATGAATTAGTGAAAAATCTACTGGGCATTCTGACTGAGAAATAAAAGTAACAGTCTTCTTCTCTGCAATTATTATTTCTGAGAATATGACAAAGACTTAATGAGTAGGCTATAGAACAAACAATTAACCCCTCACATTCAGTGCAATACAGAAAGATGGTTAGAACAGTTTCTGATTCAAAAAAATAGATAAATTATGTTCATCAAAAAGTTTTTTGCAATCTTAAAAAGTATGACAGAGGACAAATGGCACAGTTCAACCATTATAATGGCAAGTCTATTCTAATAACCCAAACCTAAGTCTAAATTAAATGAAAAGGCCTAAAACTGGATACCACTGAAAACTATAGCAGAACGTGCTCAGCTCCAACAGCAGTCAAATCAGGTATGTACCAATAATTCTGAATTTTTCTATGAACAGTAAATCCCAACAGAGTATATTTAATATTTCTTCAGCATTTGGAACAAGAATTCCAGGTGCAACATGTGCCAACACAAATGCCTTGACATAGCCAGCAGCAGGTCTGAACAGCCCATTTGCATCAAGGTTTAAATAATTAAGGACAGATACAATTAAATTGCTTACTGGGTAGGCAGGCAGAAGTCCTCCAGGTCCCACAATGTACTGATTATGCAAGAAGGGTGGTATACCCTGGGGCAGGTTTGGAGGAGTTTTGCCTGTAGAACCAAAATACAGACACTTTAACAAGTCTTTGGAGAAAACTAGGCTTCAGCACTGACATGAGATAGTGCAGCTCCCAGGGCTTAAGAATTATCATAGCATGTAAAGAGCTACACAGAAAAATGTAGTGCTAGTTAATGAAAATGCTCAAAATAGCCTGAAGAAATTAAACATACATCAAGGAAAGGAAAGCACAAACTACTTCAGACTGAAACAATCCCAGTGTATAACAGTCCAATTTTGTCATTTACTTTGAGAAGATTAGAAGAATTAGACAGGAATTTCTTTCCTTGGTCCTCTCCCAAAGGTAAAATTTAGGCATTGTTCTTTATCTGAGAATAAATTTCATTTTCTGCTCTGTCAATACATTCCCCCTTGCCACCAGACTGGAAAGCATTAAATGCTACCAGTATACTTTTTGTGGGTGACTTATTGTAGCTGGGAAAAGCAAAGATGACGGAGACAGTTTCAGTTACCTCCATAAAACAGAACTAGGAAGCACAAGGGTAAAATGTTATTCAGCCAGTCAGACATCTCAAGTGAGAAATTCTTGTGTATGTAAGTTTGGTTGTAATCTTGAAATCATTCACATCCCTCCATAGGATTTCCTTTTAGGAGGCTAAGTTGATTAGAGAAGCAACAGAGGAATTTATCCTTGCTTCCACTTCAGTGCAAGCCTCCCTACTTTCTCTGTCCGTGGATCCTTCTTCTAAAATGGTTATTGCCATGGAATAACCCAGACATCAGATACTTCTTTCCTCTCTGTAGATGTGTCAGTAGAGATTTGACATAGGATAATGACAACATTGCAGTGTATTTTGATACTGACAAATGAATTCAAGCCACAGAAGGGTCTAAAATTAAAGCTAAAGTGAACTCACAGCCAAGAGTTGATCACAACCTGGAATACAAAATGTGCAAATCTCCTGGTTCAAAACTTAAAGTTGGAATTGCTCTGGTTTTTATTTATTTAGCACATTCTATCTCCTGTATAACCAAGATGTTATAGTCACAATATAATTGTGTATAATCAATAGATATCAAGATGTTATAGTCACAATATAATCAAGAGAGTTAGGCAAAGCAGACAACGATCACAAAAAGAGAATTAGTGGAAGAGCTTACCCTTTGGCTGAGCTCACCACAAAACACCAAGAGGGGATCTCCAGAAGAGATCCTTCCCCTCTGGTAGCCAGCTCTTCAATAGGTCTAGGAGAGGTGCAGCCTGGCTCCCCCCCTTCCAGCAGCACAGGTGAATTGCCTTCACCTGTGCTCCTCTGGCTGACTCAAGGCTCACCTCAGGTGATCAGTCAGAGGTTCAGGCCCTGACTCAGCAGTTCCCATACAATCTCCAAAAAGCTTTATAAATGTCACATCACACCCTAACAAATATTTTAAATACACAAAGTAGACAAATTTATTTTATAAGCCAGCAAATAAAACATGCTGAAAATGCTAGTCAAGAATGTGGATTTCTAAGTGCAGTTATTTCTGTGAGATGCTTAACTGATAGCCCTGTAGACTGAAATCCTCTGTCTATCCATGTGATCTGTTAATATTGCGAACCTGAAGACACTAAGGGAGCTGCTCGTGCAGTAGTAGCTGGTATAGACACACTGGTAACACTCAGGCCAAGGCTGTTTGTAGTGTTCATACTGCTTGATATGCTGACAACCGAAGAGGTGGTGCTAGTAGCTGAGGTTGAAGCAGTTGAAAAGGTTGTCGAGGGCTGGAGCGAAGTTGTGTTCTCAACACTAGTGTGCTAGAAAGAAGACAAAAAAAAATGAGAATCACAAAGCAAATAAACCACAGTGAAAGATACTGGGGAAAAACAAATAAATCTTTTAAGTAAAAGCAACACATGCAAGATAATGTTTAATAGTATATGCATGATGTACATACCAAGCAAGCAACAAAGTTGCATGCTTGTGATTTTTAAGTATTCATAGAAAATTATTATACAGAAGTTAAATTCAAACAACTGTTACCACAAAATCATAACAAAGAAACTCAAATGTTCCTCCATTGCATTATTCATTGCCCTTTGATTCCCTAACCATTTAAGCTATTATCTACATTAAATAAACTCCCGTATTCTTCCAAAAGACAGTATTTGTTTTCAGAATACTGCTATTGTGATTCCCCTCAATGCACTTGTGGAATTTGAAAGATTAAAACTGCAACTCTCCACAACAGAGTCAATGTGGTAAACACAGAACACATATATTACAGGAACACGTGAGTATGAAGGAGTTCCTGGTTTTAATTCAGCACAATACAGTTTCTGAACTGTAAAAGCTGATCATACTTGCAAAACAATGTCATCAACATACAAACTATAACAACTCTGACAATAGGAAGAAAGGATATTTGCTTAAGTATGAATTTTCAAGTTACACATTCAGTTAGGATGAAGCATTAAGAACTAAAATACATGCACAAAGAATAGCACAACCTAACTAGGATTGTACAGAAGTACTCCATCACAGAACACAGAAGCATCCCCTACAGAGGGATCTGGACAGGCTGGAGAGCTGGGCTGAAGCCAATGGGATGAGTTTCAACAAGGCCAAATGCCGGGTCCTGCACTTCGACCACAACAACCCCAGGCGACGCTACAGGCTTGGGGCGGTGTGGCTGGAGGACTGCGTAGAGGAAATGGACCTGGGGGTATTGATTGATGCTCGGCTGAACATGAGACGACAGTGTGCCCAGGTGGCCAAGAAGGCCAATGGCATCCTGGCTTGCATCAGAAACAGTGTTGCAAGCAGGAGCAGAGAGGTGATTGTTCCCTTGTATTCAGCACTGGTGAGGCCGCACCTCGAGTACTGTGTCCAGTTTTGGGCCCCTCACTGCAAGAAAGATATTGAGGCCCTGGAACGTGTTCAAAGGAGGGCAACAAAGCTGGTGAGGGGTCTGGAGCACAGGCCATATGAGGAGAGGCTGAAGGAGCTGGGAATGTTCAGCCTGGAGAAGAGGAGGCTCAGGGGAGACCTCATTGCTCTCTATAACTTCCTGAAGGGAGGTTGTAGTGAGCTGGGGGTCGGCCTCTTCTCTCGTGTCATTAGTGATAGGACCAGGGGGAATGGCTTCAAGCTACGGCAGGGGAGATTCAGGCTGGACATGAGGAAGTATTACTTTTCAGAAAGGGTGGTCAGGCACTGGAATGGATGCCCAGGGAGGTGGTGGAGTCACCGAGCCTGGGGGTGTTCAAGGAAAGACTGGATGTTGTGTTGAGGGACATGGTTTAGTGGGAGCTATTGGGAATAGGTGAACGGTTGGACTGGGTGATCTTTTAGGTCTTTTCCAACCTTGGTGATTCTATGATTCTATGATTCTATGATCTGACTTCTATTTATGCAACTTCATTTACAACACTGTATTCAATACTGTTTGCCTTATCTAAAATGCATTAAATACTCAAGTGATGACAATGCCACACAGTAAACTCTAATATTGTGTCATGACAACTGCCTCATGACAGATATCTTTCCATCACCTCTGCATTGCAAGCTAACCTGTTCAGTGGAGAATGCTAGCACCACCTTTTGGAGCAGTTTCAGATAGCCACTTCTAAAGATTATTTTTAATACACTTGTTCCAAAAAAATTCTCTCTATTCCATCTCCTTCCTGAGTCAAAGTATACTCTTCAACTATGCAACTGGCAATTTTCTAATAGGTACTGTTGACCTAGTAAATCACAAGTAGTAATGAGAATCTTTTTACCACTAGAGAGCTGGCAGTTCTTCCTCTGTGAGATAAACTTCTCATCTCAGTTCTTTGTGTACTGGGACACGGTGAACTTTAAGAGAGGGTCTTAATCATCAGACAAACTGACTATATGTCAATTATCTGTTGAAATGCAAACAGGACTTACTGCATGTGATGTGCTTGAAGACAACACTGAGGCAGGGGAGAGACTGCTCTGATGATTGGAAAGGGAGCTAAAAAAAGTTGTGAAAAATTAATACAATGAATTTTTCCTAGAACACATATCTACATGTATATCCCTCCCCCATAGGCAACCTTTTATTTAATATCTGACTACCTAATGTTTAAAATAATTTAAAGTACAGAGATAATTATCAGTGACAAGAAACATGTAATACCACTCATTTATATTTATCAATTTACTACATTTTTAGTAAAGCAATAGTTGCTTCAGCAATTACATAGTGATGCCTCCAAGACATGTAAATTAGAGAACTAGAAGAATATACCAGGAAAAGTTTCACATACATATGGCTCATTTCTCACTTGTTCCCAGAGCAACTGCTACTGGATGCCATGGAGGACAGGTACTAGGTGAGACAGTGCTTTGGTTTGACTCACCACATTTCTGTTATTTTAACCTGCATATCATAATTTGAACTAATTTAGAACTGCTGAAAAACAAACAAACAAACAGCAACAACAACAAAAAACAACGAAAAAGTAATCTGTGAAAGCAGGAGAGTTAGATATACTACTAAAGAATCTGTCCATTTAATCAAGGTCTGTTCATGCCGCTACAATCCCTAAATGCCATTTCCTTATTGAAAAGATGAATCAGAACAATCTGTTCAGTTTCATAGCTACTATAGAATTTGAGAACAATGAACCTGCTGATGAAAAACATCTGCAGATAATTTCATTTTAGAAAGTAGCTCTGCATTAGCACCACTTTTTTTTCCCAAGCTGACAAGGCCTGTGAACCTCAGGCAGTAACAGCTGAACCAACATTCATTTGCAATCCAAAGATCTTCAAATGTCTCCTTGAAAGGTTACAAACTGGTTCTTAAATATTTACACTGACAGAAGTTATACCTTATATTCTAGGTCAGGAACATACAAAAGTACAATAGGAATAAGCAGAATACCAACATGAATACTGAACAAACTCAAACAGAACAAAGCCATTGAAAACATGTATGGTTTCTTGTTCAAAAAGCTCCTCATTATGTGAATAAGAAGCAAGTGAGGTTCTAATAATAACAAGTACTTCAATATTTTCCATGGAAATAGTCGTAACAAAATGCAGCAGTGTTTTTTAACAAAGCTTCAGACTAAATTATACGTTGAAATTTAAGAGCAAACATTTCTGTCAGCTCTTCAAGGTGTTGGACCAGAATAAATCTTGGCAGTTTCACAAATTTATTTTGATATAGTGTCTTTAAAACTGTTCCCCATCTGCAGGAAATAGGATGACAACACTTCAGGCAGCAAGAAAATAAATGGCTCAGTCCAGCATACTGTTTTAAACCACTTCCTTGCCCATTATCCCCTTCTTGTAAGAAGCCTTAATTCATCATCTGACTCACGTCAGAGACTCAGACAAAAACTGCCAGCACAACCGAGTCAAGCCCTGCTTGGAACTCAGGCATCATCTTTTCATGATACTCAGTATCTATCCAACAGTTAACAACCCTCCAACTAAAATTTACCACATTTACCACACATTTACCATTCAACACCAGTTCAAAAAAAAAAAAAAGCAAAAAAAAAAGCACTAGTATGAAAGAATCTACCATGCCCCAGCTGGTACTACTAGTTTTGCATTGTAACAAATACAGTAAAAAGGTGAGCATTAAAAAATGTAACAAATTAGTACAGTCCCAGGATGTAATTAGCCTCAGGACAAAGCTCAAGTAACAGGGATATAAAAATCAGAGTATATAAATGAGTTGAGCTAAATCCACTTCCAGGAACATCAATCTGATATTTCAAAATGTCTTAGGGAAATATCTTAGAAAGAAAAACACACACCATCTCTATGGAATTTTTAAAATAATTATTATTTATTTTAATATATGTGAAACTGCAGTACTTCAAAATTATGCAGGAAGTAAACTCTCAAAGGAATGATTTCAAACATAGGGCAGTAAACAAATAGCAGGCACTGTGAACAAAGTAGGAAAAGTGAGGGAATCAGTTCAGGTAATTTAGTTGGCATGATTGAAACAAGAGCCCCTTGAAACACAAAAGTGTTAATACACCTGAAAATTTGAGGGCAGCTCTGATCCATCATTAAGAGACAGCCCAGATCTCCTACTTTGCAAATCAGGGCTATCAGACAACAGGATCTCCTTTTCTGACATTAACTAGAATTAGAAGAGAGAGATTCAGAAGAGATCAGGATGTTTCTGCTTGCAATCATGCTTTTATTTGCTCTTTTCTTAGAATTTTACTCCCTTCAGTTTACCGCAAATCCCACTGTACCTGCTTAACTGGGTAAGCGAGCTGCTGGCCAAGTCACTGGACTGAGGCAAGCTGGGCAATGTTGCTATGTGCTGCAATGCTGAAGGCAGAAGTGAAGTGGTGGCGGGTACCACACTAGGCAGAGAACCAGCGGAAGGCAGTGAGGGAGAAGGTTCTGTCTTAGACACTGGAACTGATGAAGTAGCTGCAATGAGTTAAAAAGAGGCATTCAAAGACAAATTCCAGCATATTTGACTCTCAAGTTGGATTCAGAAACACAATATATAGTTATTCTATCCTTGGTTTACAAGAATTTAACTGTTAAGAACCAGGAATAGTAGTAAGTAATCTGTCTACTAAGGAAAATATAGACGGCAACAGAACTAATTTCTCCCTTTGAGTTCTTCACTTACAACAGATTTATGATTTATGGTACACATGAAGTGCAGAAGACTGTAGTTTACTACATCTCCTACTATCCGATTACTAGCTTTTGCTTACAAGTCCATTCTCATTTTAAAAATATTTGCATATTACTTGAATCCATTTCTGCAAACAGAGGTTGTTCACACTCTTCGAAGCACTGCAAAAATCTATTCTTACTTCCAGCTCTAATTCTTCGCTCCAACCTATACAGCATCTTTGATTCCTGAAATTTGGATTGCTGGAGTACAAAGGCACATAAAACTAATCCATTTGGAGTACTGGAATACTGACTCAAATGTGTTATATATTAGAATAAAAGCTAGAATAAAATGTTACAATTGAGCAAAGTATTAAGCACAGTCAAAAAAGTTGTCAAATATTGCCTTACTTTATTTTATCTGGGTAACAAAAAAGTTGTTAGCATTAATATTACTTCTTAGTCTACATGCAGTATAACTCGTTTGCCACAAATGTCTCTTTTTAAAGGAATACTGTACTGCAGCAAGGCACAGAACAATTCCACTACCCAACATAATTCCCAGTTGTTTCTAAACTAATCTCTTGTTTTCCGAAGAAGGATAAAACAGAATTAGCCACTCACTCACCAAATAAATCTCAGAAATAATTGAGTCTTGTCTTCTGCTGGGTCATGCTTTCATGCAGTGCGAGAAACCACTACCCAGCAGATCATCATTATCTTGCAGTGCAGTCACACAGTCTCAGAATGTCCATCAAACAAAAATCAGATATATGCTTGGAAGTTAAATATCACATTATTGGTTTTCTCCCTAAATGACTCTAAAGTTGCTGGACTAGGGTCTATGAAAACAGAAATCAAGAGGTTTTAACCTTGCCAATAAGCATGACTGTAACTGACAAAGAAGGAAATCGAAGAGACAACGTAAGCATAGTTACGAAGGACGCAACTGTATTACCTGATACCTCCTGGCAACATTCATATAAAATAAATAATCAATGCTTATAACTCTCAATACATTTATGCCAGGATTCACTTTTTGAAATCAAAGTAGATATCCCCAATGTGAGGGACAGACCAGGAGACAAACAGAATGGTCAGAATTATATTACTAGCATGTTTTGAACAGTTAAAGGTTTAGAAAGGATGAGACCTGATATTAAAGAGCAACAATTGGTAAGACAACTAAGGATGTTAAGCAGCAAACACAGAAGAGAAAAGGTCAGAGTTTTTAATTGCTAATAAAAGATCTCAAAATAGTTTTAACTCATGAAATATATATGTGGGAGAAAACCGATTCCAGTTTATGAGTCTGAGATAGAGAGAAAAAAAAAAGTGTTACCAAAAGGGAATCAGCATAAAAAAAGAAACTAATAAAATTGCTACAGAATCATTATAAAAAATAGAAATTCTCAAATTTTTGCTTTCCATACCAAAAAGAAAAATCCTGTAGTGAATTTCAAAAATTGTTAATTCTGCGTATGAAAGTAAGAAAGTTTCTATGTGTATGGGAACTGCTGAGTCATGGCCTGAACCTCTGACTGATCACCTGAGGTGAGCCATGAGTCAGCCAGAGGAGCACAGGTGAAGGCAATTCACCTGTGCTGCTGGAAGGGGGGGAGCCAGGCTGCACCTCTCCTGGACCTATTGAAGAGCTGGCTACCAGAGGGGCAGGATCTCTTCTGGAGATCTGTTCTGCTGGTGTTTTGTGGGTGAGCCTGGGATAGGGGTAAGCTTTCCGTCTGTTCTCTTTTTGTTGTCGTTATTTGCTTTGTCAAGCTCTTTTCTTTATTTCGTAATTATGTCTTTATAGTCGTTGACTATACACTATGTGTGAAGTTGTCCTATACACTGAAGTTTTTTAAAAAGCAACTCTTTGGGTAGGGTATATGCTCTTCCTCCTCCTGCTCGTGTAAGCTGAATTTGGCACTAACAAAATATAGTTTATAGGTCTCAATGCTCAAGTTCTTTCCATGCTGATGTATAAAAAAAGCTGCTTCACTGCTCATGTCTCTGAGATATTTAAGAGGAAGATAGACTTTAAACGGAAGTGTTAGAATTCAAAAATATATTAATTTTAGCTGCTGCCCTTGAAAACTTCCATAAAGCAGCATATAATGGTCTGAAGAGTATAAGCTGTATTGTAATTATCTTAACTCCAGAAAGAGATTTATAGGAGTGCACTAAGTAAAATACCGCACGCACAGAAGGTCAAGATGAACAGTACTGCCTCTATTAGAGCCAATGCTGTTGTTGTTACTCTACTGTAAGACAGCAAGCTACTCAGCAGAGGGAACGTGTTAGTCTCCCTTATTCCCAAAAAGGTTGCAGCTAAGCAATTGAGCACTATACCCTTCAAGAGGTGCTTCTGAAGAACACAACTGTTTCTTTACCACTAAATGCCAACTGCAGCTTTCTAAATGAGCTTTCTAAATGAGAACTGGAAGAATGGGTAAGGAATTGTATATTAAATATTTTTTGACAGAGAAATAAAAAAAAAAGCAGTGGTAAAGCAGCTTTTCTAATGCCTAAGACTGCTCAGTGTTTCACACTGGGTATGGATTCAATAGAGCTGCTTCATTTTATCAGCCTTCTCCAACAAGCAAGTAGTACATTCTGTGCAAGTACGCAAACTCAGATTGATCAGTCAAAAACTAGGCAGGAAAAGCTATGTAAAACCTTAAACTAGATGTTGTTGCTACGATTGTGTGCATCCCAAATTGGAAGGAAAAATTAGAAGAAGAATCCTGTGCACAATCAAACTTTGTAAACTTACTGTCAAGAGTTGCCTGTGTTCTAACACCGTGTCCATTCTGTAAACAAAGGAGAAATTTAATAAATCATTTTAAAGGTATATTAAGTTTTTCATAATGAATCACACATTTAACATGCTTCATGCAAAATTCTATATTGATTCTAAATTGAACAATAGAAAATTAGTTTTTTATTGTCTTTAAAAAAATCACATAATAAAGTTCTTAAGTACTAAGTGTCCTGAACATACAGAATCTCATATGTGACCTGTACTACATCTGTCAGCAGGAGGCTTTCCTGTGTACTGTATATAACAAACTTTAGGTTCACACTGATATGAAAGAAGGAATTGCATTAACATATAGGAAATTGTTGCATTTTTGGTCTAATGCAACTCACAACTTTAACTATCCAAGTGTGTTAGGGGCACAAAGGTCCTGGCTGAAGAATGATCCTGAATTGGAACAAAGCATTCTGACAGTGTAAGTGGATGGCTGTGTGACTAGAACTATGGGCCACATGATGGTTTTGAGGAGAACAGCATTTGTGGCTAGAGCTGCTTATCTTGTTTTGGTAGGAAGCTGATCTTGATATTTTTTCTTGTTTTGCAAAAAACTTGTTTTCTGCAAGCAGGTGTTCTGCTTGGGCTCTGCATCATGCTCTGGCTATGCTGATGTGGTGTGCAAGGGGGGAAAAAAAAAACCCAAAACCTTGCAGACCCTGGAGAGAATAAAAACAGGAGGGAGACTGTGGTGGATTCAAAGAGAGAGGAAAGTACACCTTGAAGCAGGGGATGTCCTACTGATGCTTCCTGCTGAATCCACTATGGGCACGTTTCTTTTCTTCCTCCTACTCGGCCTTTCACTCATCTCTCAAGGGTCAGTAAGTAATATTGCATTTGCTTAAGGAGTCTTCTGCTCGCTACCAACTGAGATTATCTAGAATAGATGCCTGTGTGTGTATTGAATAAAATTCATAACACTGTGCCTCTCTGAATGGGTATCCTGAAACACCAAGTTACACAGAGATGCCATTTTTTTTCCATTGAAATGTAAGACTTGAGAAGTACCAGTTGTTTTTTTTTTTTTTTTTTTTTTTTTTTTGGACAACACTGAAGTGCAGAAGTGGATAGTCTGTGCTTGATCCTCACCAGTACATATGAGCTAGTGCAGAAGACAAGTGTTATTGAGCCATTACATAACAAAGGCTATAAGTAAATAAACTTAAAAACTCTCACAAGTTCCTTAAATATTTAATAAATTATCTTAAAACAAACCTACATTCCATATACAAAGAATAGGTGTTATTAAATCCTCTGTCCTAAATCAGATCTCAACCTAGGTGTTTTAAAATAAAACACAATAATAAACACTCCTGGTGTTTAAATTAACAGAAGTGTAATGTTTGAGGGGCCGCAGTTTGAGATCTATTTGCTACATTCCTTATACACTCAATTAATGATATATATTTGGATAGAAACTGTAAGGAAAACAGCAGACCATGTCTAATGTTTACATAGAAGAGTTCCTTCTTTAAAAGATGAGCTTAAGGGAAAGAAACTCAGCAAGGATGTTAAGTGCTACTAAGAAAAAAGGTCAAACAGCAATTTAAAATGTCAAGACATAAAATCAGAGGCTTTTATATCCCAAATACAGTATGGTAAAAAAAAAAAAAAGCTACACAACAGGAAAAGAAAGCACAAATAACAAGGTGGGCTTGGGAATCAAAGAAACCACTTGGCTTGGTTAAAAGTACTAACATAACAGAGTAATACAAGTCTAACAGGGATGAGAATGTTTCACTTCTTTCAGGGTCTTATTTCTGAAACTGACTCACCGTAACTGCAACAGGTATTGGTTCAGATGGAGCCATGGAGCTTTGGTATGATATCCTACTATGCACAGAAGTCTGGTTATAGGAAGTTGTTGTTACTAGGCTAGTGTTCTGGGATGAGCAGGTCAGAGTGGAAGAGGTTGTGTATGTGGACTCCTGTACTGTACTGGATATCGGCAAAGAGGTATTCAAAGGATCACTGGAAAAAGTAAGAAGTTATTTACCAAGATGGTGAGTTCTCAAACACCTTCAGGAAAATATCAGCTTCTGCACAGTTAACTAAAACATATAGTCAAATCTAAATTATTTATATTAAAAAATGAATATAATTTTGCTTTAGTTCCCAGTAATCACTTTTTCAAAACAGCCAATTGTACTAAGTACCATTCAGCTTCCTCCTGTCACCCCAACAAAAAAAAAAGTTGACACATCAGCACTTGTCAGTTGACTTATTTCCACTCTCTCAAAAGGATAATTTAATGATCTTATTTTTGATGTTATTTTTTGGATTTTGTTTATTTAGAAAAAGCCAAATAGATCCATGAAGACTGATGCATGATGACAAACAATCTCTTTTTGTAATAGAATTCTAACATTATGGTAGCAGTCCAACAGAATAAGCTATGCAAAGGAAAAAAAAATAACTGAAAAAATGAAGGGATGTTTTCTAAACAGCTAAAATCATTTATAGAACAGGAAATAAATGAGGAAGCTCATTTTTATGAATGTTTCTGAAAAAGCTTCATGAAGATTTTTGCTGAAGCCAATTATTGAATGAGTGTCAACAGTTTACAGGCTGGTTTGGCACAGTTCTGTGACTAGCAGAGCGGATCCATAGACCCACACCCCAGAAAAGGGGAATGGGCAGGGAGATAGGCCTAAAAACAAAACAGTGGTGATGATCTGAGGAAGAAAAAAATAATTTACTAAGTAAGATATCAGCATGCAAGATAACACACTATGATGCAACATAATACAATATAATTGGAATTGAAGCTAATCAAATATAATGAGTGTCCAAAAACCAAAGGCCTTACTCTAATGCTGAGGCGAGACATCTAGTTGGGATGAGCAGAAGAGAAAAAAAAAAAAAAGGGACATCTTGTGATGATGCAAACAGTTTTATCTTTGAGTGGAAAATGGAAACAGAATAATGCAAAGAGCTCTGGAGTATGTAGTAAGCAGTTCTTTTCTTCTGTGAGCCAGGTACCTGGAACTATCCACGATCCATGAAACTGGAGCATTAATTCTTTAACTCCCAGTGCACTACAGGATGTTATGATGTAGAATACTGATAACAAAAGCCGTAAAACCATGACAAGGAGCAAGTAAAAAATAAATGGGTTATTGTTGCATTTGTATTATTTGTTACCTATATTAGCATTTCAGTGAAAGCTTCTGTATACTGAAATGCTCGGCTACTCTTTTCACTCTATAGGAGTATCAGATCTGCAATCAGGAACCAATCTACTAACACACATGTATGGTACAAGGTTCATTTCTCTTGGATCAAAAGCAGAAAAAATAATGAGTTGTGAGGAGCAAGTCCTCTGGCAAATCTGAAAATAAGGACAATCAAACATGAGGAAGTAATTCTGTTAAGGGTAGCTTACTTTGATGTTTATTTACGTTTATGTAATCTCCAGCTCCAAATCAACCTAGCCAGGTAATTTTGATTGTCATTAGAGAGACTTCTTCAACATGCTATCAACAGAAAACAGCCCTTTCAAGCGATCGTATTTCCCCTTCTCATTACACAGAACTGTCTTGACGTGTTTTGCACAAACTCAACCCGTAAAGAAGGCATCTAAGAAAACACAAGGGCAACTCACACTTACTTTACAGATTTTGAGTACAAGCTATCGTTGGTCATCTGGCTGGCATTTTCACTGCTTGATCTGAACTCTGGGAGTGTAGGCTCTGATCCAAACTCCAGAGCTCCAAACTGAACATTTAACCCTGCCATATCAGCTGATCCAGGCATCTCCACAGCAGAGGCAGGAATCTTAAAAGGGAAAAAACAAGCCACAGTTCTTTGTTATGTACTATCTGTATTAAGGATATCAGTGACTGACGCACTCTCTTCCCTATGGGCTTCTTCAGTTACTGCCTCAAACTTAGTTGTCTACTACGAGGGCTGCTTCAAAAGTAATGCCTCTTGTTTTATTACATTGACCAACGATGTCAGAGGCAGATGTTGGTACGGCAGTAGTCCGAACCTTCCCACCAATATGCCATTACGTTTTTCTGCTGTGCAACAGATGGCAGCAGAGGGGCAGTCTGACAAAATGGTGTCTGAAGTGGAAGTGCTTATGAAGCAAAGGTGTGTCATTGAATTCCTCCATGCAGAAAAATTGCACCCATTGACATTCATCAACTCTTGCTGAATGTTTATGGAGACCAAGCAGTGGATGTTAGCACAGTGAGACAGTGAGTAGTGCATTTCAGCAGTGGGAACAAGAAGTCACCTCTGGTGGTCCTGCATAACTAGTGATAGGACTAGAGGGAATGGCCTCAAGTTGTGCCAGGGGAGGTTCAGGCTGTATGTTAGGAAATGCTTCTCCGAAAGAGTGATCAGGCACTGGAATGGGCTGCCCAGGGAGGTGGTGGAGTCACTGTCCTTGGAGGTGTTCAAGAAACATTTAGATGTTATACTAAGGGACACATTTTAGTGGGGAAATATTGGTGGTAGGTGGACGGTTGGACTGAATGATCTTGGAGGTCTTTTTCAATCTTGGTGGTTCTATGATTCTATGGTACAGATTTTTATGAGCACGTTGCGTTTTGAAGAGTTAATCATGTAACACCTCTCTCTCTCTCCCCTCGGGAAAAGGGGGGGAAGGAAGAGGAAAAAAACTTTACTGAGATTGGAGAAACTAATATATTAAAAGGAATGTGAGATAATACAGAATAATTAAGAATAATAAATCAAATGAACCAAAAATAAACCAGAAAAGAGAGAGTCAGTCTGAGTTTTTATTGTCAGGCCCTCACTGCTGGCCGCCCAGAAAAAATGAGAGATCTTGCTCCTCACCCAGAATTGGAAATCACATCTCCCAGAGCCAGAACTTACATAAAATAGTTGAGCCTGCTAGAAGCACAGCACACAGGAAGTGCATCCAACACTGTGCTTAAGCATCAGACAGTCTGCTGCATGATGCCATGATATGGAATGCTGATAAAACCAGGACAGTGCAGCATGCAGGTTCTTGTTCATCGCTGGTGAAAATGCATAGCTAATGGTGGTGACTATGTTGAAAAATAAGTGTTTTGTAGCTGGGAATTGAATTTGCTCTATCAAATAGTGTTACTGTGCTCTTTGTATCTGTTTTAGTTTCCATGGAAATAAATAGGAGGCATTACTTTCAGAGTGACCTACATACATCTGTTGCAACTCCCCAATATATATCCTGCAAATTAAGTTCATTCTTGTAATCTTAAATTCATTTATTGATTCTTTGCCCTGGATCTCATTCAGCAAGTTATTTTCCACACAGAGCAATTAGATACTTGCTTGGAAAAGACATCATCACTGTATTTCTACTGTAGAACTATCCAGCTTAGAATTCCCTGCTTTATAAACAGGGACCATATGATGGTATTAGCTCCCCTTTTCCTAGTAACTCATATGCATTTGCTTAGGACCAGGCGCTGTCAAATTACCCACCTTGGATGCTGGAGTTATCCTCCGTTTTGGTTGTTTTATCTGTTTCTGCTGGGTTTGATGGGCAGTCACTGTCTGGTTTTCCAAAGATATATTCGGAAGCTGTAGCATTTTGCTGATAGCTGTAGAGGTGTCTACTGGTGAGGGCTCTTGAAGTTTTACCTGGGAGGAGAAGGACTCCAGTCCAGGTGGAAGAACGGGTACTGCCTGCATTTTTTGTTGCTGTCGTTGAGTCAGCTGGCTCAGAACTGGGGATGGTTCAGGCTGAGATTTAAAGTCTGATCAGTATTGGAGAAAAAAAAAAAATCAAAATTAAAGCATTCAGCTTTGCTCTTCTGCTCTTTATGACAAAACCTAGGTGACCTGACAACTCTTATTTTCTAATGTATGCAAGTCTCTTACAGAGATCATCACGCGAATTCCACGTGCAACATAACCATTGCAATAACAAGGCCAACATTTGATATTCTCTATCTGAAATGAACAGTTTTTAATCAAGCAGTATTTAGTTTTCTTTATAAACATGAAAATAAAACTATTATGTAATATTATACATTAGGCATCATAGTACTTATTAAAAAATGAAATGCTATAGTTAGTTAAGAGACAAAATTCAGAAAAGACAAAATGTAGTACATTCTTATATTCAGCTAGGAGAAGCATATACACAAAGACCAAAATATTTATTTTCCAGGATTTGCTGAGAAACAAATTCACATCAAAGTTCACTTAAATAGTCATAGTCAGGCATGCCAAATCAAAGATGTCACTACATGAAGAATTAACTTCTAAACATGCAAAATGTTCTGTGTATAGGCTTAAGCCTATCACAGCTTAAGTTTGTGATATATTTCTAATATCTGTTACCAGCAGATAAGCTTAACTGAAATGTTGTAATCAATTTTATTATTAGGATTGCATTAAAAAATGAAGTCTTTTTTTTTTTTTTTTTAAACAGGCTAATAGAAAGAGATTACATCAAAGCACTTACCAAACTGACTGAGGACTGAGGACTGAGTAATGGGTGGTTTTAGACTCCAAGATGATGTGGCAGTTATGGTAGCATTGGTAGAGTTACTATTGTTTTGTTGAGAGGTAAACTGACCCAGATCTGGGGATTTTAGTTGTTCCAAAATTTGGGATCCAGTACAGTTTGCCAGTTTAGAGGATCCAAGTTCTCCAAAGCCAGAAGAAAGAACTGCAGACTACCAAAAAGACAAGGAAAAAAAAGGAGGAATGGAATTAAGTATTTAATAAATAATTTGAACATAATTGTAAAGTCAGCGCCTACAGTTGCTACTTGGCAACAACTAAAACCTCTTCAGCCCTAGCTTACTAATAAATGAAAAATTCAGCAGTTGTAGCATAGAGATGTAGCATAGAGATGGATCCTCTTGTTACCACTAATACAATTTCACCACTTTTACAACAGTACTAACTTTCTTGAATGCACACATCCCCAAAATCATTTAATTACCAATAGCTAAACAGATTTTCAAAGAATACAAATGCTCAGTTTTAAATCTTCAATCATTAAAGAAGGGAAGCCTTTTTTCAAATTATTATTATTTTCTTTTCATCTCTCCAGAATACTCAGAAATAGTCATATTTCCACAAAAAAGCAATCAGATACATTCTTGGATGTATCACATCTGTTTTCTAGCATAGAATTCTTCACTATAAACAAATTATTTCATTTTTATTCTATATCAGTATGCAGTAAATGTATCTGTTCTGTACTCAAAAATTAATTCAAGAACTTCATGTAAACCAAGAAACAACCACCAAGTAACAAAAACAGCTGCTTGTGTGAGAGGATATTCTTAACCCCATTTCTGCATCATTTGTAACCTGAATTTTACAAATACTGAAACGTTTCATGAGATGACCAGTACTAGAAAAGTTGTTTAACCCAAAGTATTTGCTTATGAAGAGTACTTAGAAGAAGATAATTTTACCAGACTCTGAGAAGAACAGGAGTTTACAGCACTGGAACTGCCAATTCCTGATACCATCTGAGAGCTGTGCTGAGTATTTGTGAAGACTAGGGCTTGGCCAAAGGTCTGCTGCTGAGGAGCTTCAAATGAGTTGTCTTCTGTCTCTTGAGTGGAGGTCACAGTCTTTTGAAGCAATGCTACCAAATCAATGCTGTAAGAAAAGTAGTTTGACTAGAATAAACATGATGATTAGGCTGTGCAGAAATTAAAGAAACAATATTATATAAAGTTGCCATACTGACAATTGAACTATTGCTGATCAGCAGCCTTTAAGAATATTGTTTGTCTGCCACACAAAAGCTCTCTGTACAAAGAGGAAAAACAGAGGCTTCTGCTAGAAAGTAAAATTCTGCTAGCTGAGATCTTCCATTACAGCTAGAATCTAAATTATCTTTGCACTCTTTTCAAAAAGATTATGAACTTCTGTAACATCATGCATCACATAATCTATATGATCAATATTAGCCAAGTGGGGAGAAGTTACAAAATATACATCAGTGTTTGAGTGTCTTGCCAGCCTATTATATATATTATATTAAATATATTAATATTTAATATTTACATATATAATATATACAATTTTATATAATAATATAAACAATATAATATATAAATATATATATAATGTATAAATATTATATATATATATAATTCACATTGCATATCACACTATTCCTCTAAAAAAAACAAGAGATCATCAGGAAGAGCAGAGCCCCTGACAAGATGCAGCTCTGACACAGCGTGGGCAGAACCAGTAGTGATGGTGGTCAAATCCCCACACATATAAAGATTGTTCCTGGGGAGCGCAGTGAACAGGACATACAAAGAGGGCATGGTATGGCAGTTTGCACAGGAAGGGTGAGCAGGGAGGGTGCCGGGAAAGCTGCTCTCTCATCATCTGGGAACACTAGGGTGTGGCACTTTATGGGAACAAATATGGTAACCACTCACCACAACAGCCAGGCTGAGGCAGCAACCCAGACCAAGGGGTCACAACCTTTTGGGCACCCAGATGGACCTCCAGAGGAGCCAACAGTGCTGTCCATACCTTTGGTTGTGGGGAACTCCAGAATCTCAAGGGCTCCCCTCAAGGGCTGAGGGGAAGAGGGGACTGTCATGGGTGCAGGCATGCCATGCTCAATGAACTAATCAAGCAGATGGCCAGGTTGCAGGATAAACAGGCTTAGAGACATCTGAGAATCAGAGAGGGAGATGGATAGGAGGAAGTCTGAACCGACACATGCTGACTGACAGCCCCCTCCCTAAGTCCCTGCAAGGAAATAACACAAGAAATAACAAGCATATTAAGCAGGGCGAACCGAGGAATCACATCAAAACTAGTGCCACCAAAAAAGGGCGAAGAGTCTTAGTAATGGAAGACTCCTCGCTGAGGGGTGCTGAGGTCCCCATTTTCCGCTTGGATAACCTCTCCAGAGGGGTTTGTTGTCTGCCAGAGGTGCCTCTTAGAGATGTCTAGAAGAGGCTACTGTCTCTGATGAAACAGAAGACTGTTATCCACTCATTCTCATTCATGTTGGGTCTCAGGAGTTTGCAACAAGGAAACTGCAGACCATTAAAGGAAACTTTGCATCTCTTGGGAAGACATTGAAGGGATTGGGGGTGCAAGTAGTGTTCTCCTCTGTCCTCCCAATTAGCAGCTGGGACCAGGAAAAGAGAACAGCTCAGGTAAATGACTGGTTGCATAGGTGGTGTCATGATCAAGGCTTTGGGTTCTGTAATCTTGGACAGGCCTTTGAGATACCAGGTATGTGGACATCAGATGGAATACAACTGAGCACGTGGAGCAAAAGCTTTCTGAGAAGCAAGCTGTCTGGATTGATTACCATGGCTTTAAACTAGATGCAATGGGGGGAAGGGGATGGAGTTCTATGTGGCAGAGAAGGGCTGGGGAATGTTGTCACTTTAAGGAAACAGTAGGGAAAAACATCTGAATCATCCCAAAGGATCCCGTGAGAACTCCTCAGAGAAGGTAATGCTGCCAACAGCCCGGCTGAAGTGCCTCTGTACCAGTGTATGCAGCATGGGTAATACGCAGGAAGAGTTGGAAGCCGTGGCACAATTAGAAAACTATAACCTAATTACAGTCATGGAGATGTGGTGGGATGATTCACACAACTGAAGCATGATGATCGAGGACTACAAGTTTTTCAGAAGAGATAGGCAGGAAAAGGGGTGGAAAAGTTGCCTTCTGTGTTAATAGGTGGATAGAGTATGAAGAGCTGCCTCTGAGAAACAGCCACAATCAGGTTGGGAGCTTGTGGGTGAAAATCGGACTGGACTAATAAAAGACATGGTGATTGGGATCTACTACAGGCTGATTGATCAGGGGGAGCCTGTGGATGAGGCCTTCTTGCTTCAACTGCAGGAAGTGTCCTGCTTGCAGGCTCTCACCTTGATGAGGGATTTCAACCACTCAGATGTAGTTAACAAAATACGCAAGTTAGAGATGTAGTCAATGAAATACGTAAAGCGGGGGCTGTCAAGGTCACCAGGCGTAACCAGGCGTAATCTGTGTGGCCCCTTGTGTGGTTAGCGAATACGTGAAAGGGGGGCTGTAACAGTCATCAGCCTCTGCGGGGGCTCCTTGACTCATAAGAAGACCATGATGAGACATGGCAAGACAAGACATGCCACACGTCTATTGGGCACAGATAACCGTAGCAAGGGTGATTGGTAGCATTGTGATATAAGGGACAACTATAAGAAGAGTGTGTTGCTTGCAATAAACGCCATTTGCCGCTCACCCCATTGGTGTCATAAAGCGTGTGATTTGGCCGGGGCTGTCTGAGCACTTCACGACGGGACATTAATCAGAGGTTGCCGAAGCAAAGGCGACACTCAGATGTCTGCTGGGAAAGTGTCGTGGTTTGGCCTGGTTTGGTAACAAAAAGAGATGAAAGGACCCATGGACCCACACTCCGGGAAATGGGGAAAGGGGGAAGGGAAAAAAGGTAGGGAGATGGGCCTAGACGAGGAAAACAGCAGCAATGAGCTAAGGGGAAAAAGTTAATTTACTAAATATAATATTGGAATGTGAGATAATACAATATAATACAATATGATTGGAATTGAAGCTAATAAATCAAAAAAATGAGAGAGAGTGTGTCCAAAACTGAAGTCTTTAATGCTGTAGGTGAGATAGCTAAGGAGTACACAGAGCAAAGAGGGGAAAAAGAGAGAGTCTCATGACTCCCAGTCAATTTTATCTTTCCCCCAAATGGAAAATGGAAATGGAACAAATAAGTCTTCTGGGAGTTGTAGTTCATTCTTCTCTTCTGAGACCAGGACACCAGAACTATCAACAGTCCACGGAACTGCAGCATTAACTCTTTAACTCTCAGTGCACTGCATGATGTAATGATGTAGAATACCAATAACAAATCACAAAACCATGAAAGAAAGCAATGTGGCAGGCTGCAAGCAATCCCAAAGACTCCTCCAATGTACTGAGGATAACTTTCTGGTCCAGGTATTAGACAAACTGATCAGAGGAGAAGCATTTCTGGACCTGGTGCTCACAAACACAGAGGAGGGCTCATTAAAGAAGTTAAGACTGGAGGCACTATGGGTTGTAGTGACCATGCCCAGGTAGAGTTTGTGATCTTGAGGAGGATGGGCCTGGCAAAAAGCAAAGTCAGGACCCTGAACTTCAGGAGAGTAAACTTCAGGCTATTTAAGGGATTACTGGCTGAGATCCCCTGGAAAGCTGTCCTTAGAGATAAAGGAGTGGAGCAAAGCTGGCTACTCTTAGAGATGCCTTTCTGAGAGCACGAGAGCACTCTGTCCCCCAGTATAGGAAAACAAGCAGAGGAGGCAGGAAACCAGCTTGGCTCGGCAAAGACCTGCTGCTCAAACTGAGAGATAAGAAGAACATGTACAGGCAGTAGAAACAAGGATGTGTCACCCAGGAAATATACAGTGATGCTGTCTGGACATGTAGAGATGGGATCTAGGAAAGCCAAGGCACACATAGAACTGCATGTGGTAAGGGATGTAAAAAACAAGAGATTCTATAGACACGCTGGTCAGAAGAGACAGGCTAAAGAGAGTGTACCCCCTCTGATAACTGAAAAATAATTGGCTACAACAGATATGGGGAAGGCTGAGGTACTCAATGAGTTCTTTGTCTCAGTTTTCACTGGCAGCCAAGATTCCCTTCTCTTCCATCCCTGAACCTCTAGGTGGGAACTGGGTGAGCAAAATCCCCTCCACTGTAAGAGCAGAGCAAGTCCAAGACCATCTCATGAGGCTAAATGTGTATAAGCATATGGGGACAGATGACATGCATCCCAGGGTTCTGAGGGAACTGGCTGATGTGGTTGCCAAGCTGTTCTCCATCATATTTGAAAAGTTGTGGTTGTCAGGCAAAGTCCACAGTAGCCAAAAAAAGGGAAACAACATTCATTTTTAAGAAAGGGAGAAAGGAAGACCCCAGGGAACTAAAGGCCAGTGTGCCTCATGTCTGTGCCTGGGAAGATCATGGAACAGATCCTCCTGGATGACATGTTAAGGCACTTTAACATCCGAAACAGCCAGCATGGCTTTACCAAGGAAAGGTCATGCCTGACCAATCTGGTGGCCTTCTATCATGGAGTGATGGCATCAGCGGACAAAGGAAGGGCAACCGATCTCATCTAGTTGGACTTCTGCAAAGCCTTTGACATGGTCTTGTACCACATCCTTTTCTCTAAATTGGAGAGATATGGGTTTGAAGGGTAGACTATTCAGTGGATAAGGAATTGGTTGGAAGGACAAAGCTAAAGGGTTGTGATAAATCCAGGTGGAGGCTGGTGATGAGTGGCATCCTCCAGGAGTCTGTCTTGGGACCAATGTTCTTTTACATCTTTTATCAATTATATAGATGTTAAGATAGAGTGCACCCTCAGCAATTTTGTGAATGACACCGAGCTGAGTGGTGCAGTTGATACAACAGAAATAAGGCATGCCATCCAAAGGGACCTTGACAAACTCAAAAGTTGGGCTCATGCAAACCTAATGAGGTTCAACAAAGCCATGTGGCAAGGTGCTGAACTTGGGTTGAGGTAATCCTAGATATGCATATAGACTGGGTGAAGAACTCCTTGAG